GTAAACATGATTTGGCATCCAAAACCTGGATATGACTTAGAGAGGAGCTCACAACTTTGAACAAACTGTGCTTTTCTAATCCTGCACCTTTATATGAGCCAAAGCCCCAGGTCAGGGCTAGGAAAGTCAAGAAACAGGAAGGAAATTGGTCAGTTTTCCATCACCATTGGTGAGTGACCAGAACTTTGCTTTAAGTAAAAATACTTGTTTAAAAGAAATGTTCATTCTTTCTTTGCTGGGATGCTTGTTAAGTAATAAAAGCATGGAATTCAATAGGTGTGAAAGTATAGGGAGATTTATTAAAAACAGGAAATGGTAAAATAGAAGTTCAAGGGCCAGTGTGAAAAAAATGGAATTTAATTGAGAGGTGCTTCTTGTATCAAACTCTTCTCTTTCATTATACTGTTTCCTTCATAAGTCCCCACTGACTTTTTACATTTCCTTACCCCAAGAGGACAACAGAAAATAGAAAGGGGGATTTTTGACACCCCATTCCTGTCTTTTATGGATGATGTCACCAGATTAAGGGATGTTCCTAGGATCTATTTTTATTGGTTGGGGACAGCTCGGTTGAGAACATGAGAGCTTATGTTGTTTCCTTCTCAAGAGATGTTGGAACTCCAGGGAAGCTGTAAAACTAGAATTTTTACAAGCCTTAAGAAATATCCTCACTCTGGTATCTAACGCTTAAAAGAGCTTCTTATGTCTGTTTATAATTGTGTAGCAAATAATTGTGCTGTCCTGGGAAAAACGATTCTTATTGTCAAATGTTTATATATCTTTGTTTCATATGACTATTAAACTAAGATGTTTGTGTGAGTAAGCTGAATGCTTTGTTTTGATATTTTATTAAAATCTTATAAGTTTATTATATGACTATTAAACTATTTGTGTGAATAAGGTGAATACTTTGTTTTGATATTTTATTAAAATCCTATCAGTTTATTCCCTGGGATGTGTGGCATAGGTTAAGTATAATTTTCTCAAAACTCACCCGAATGTGAAGTAGGGACTTTTGAGACATTTTGCTTCTTATACTTATTTTTTAATCTAATGAAAACTTTATAAATTGTGTCCCTGAGATAATAACACTCTTCCCATCAGGTGTATCACTTTCAGTAGTACTATGGGGAGGGTGACTGAGGGAAATGAAATGTACTGGAATTGAAACAGAATAAAAATACTGACCATCATTCAATGTTGGCATTAAAAACTATGAAAATAGAATTCGGTTAAATTTAACACTAAAATAGAAAAGGAATGACTATCTTTTGCTTTTAATATTTCTTCCTGTCAATAATTTACAACTGAGTCTACCTAAAGGTTTCATTACATTTAGGCTAGATTGACAAATACATATCTCATATATACAGTATTTTACTATCAGACCCTGTGCTAGATGCTGGTGACACAAAGATAAAAAAGCACTAGTCCCTCAAGGAATTAGTGTGAGGCCAATAAATTTATTCAGCTGAACTGGATTGAAAATTGAGGCCTGGTATAAGAACTTTCAGGCAGAAGAAATAGCATGTTCTAGGGTCTGAAGACCAAAACAACATGTCATACTCAGGGAACTTATGAAGTCTGCAAATTTTAGAATGAAGAATAAAAAGAGTGGAAGGAATGAAACAAGATAGTGGTCAAATCATGAGGAACTTTATATTTTCTTTATTATCCTAAAGTAGTTGGGCAATGATAGAAGTTGTTTTTTAGAAATATTACTCTGTTGATGAAGTGTGAATCAAAGATTAGACAGAGAGTCAGAGGACCATACTTTGGTCAAAGATGAAAATGAGAACTTTGATATCAAGAAATCTAA